AGAAGAGTGAGAGATTGCTCTGCACGACAACCTAAATGGAACAAAGGAATAAAATTTGTTCAATAACAAGGCTACAAATAGACAAATTTTGTCTTTGTATGTGGAGTAATTAATATATTTTGTGCAACAAGATTTTAAATTTTTAATTTTCCTTACGAAAGTTCAATTGAATTTTAGCTTATAAGCAAGATTTTCATTCAACTTATTTATTTTAACAAAAGTTAAACTTTCTAAAATACGAAAAATAATGATTCCTTATTTTTTTTAAGATTAAATAAACCCTTCGTACTTTGTCTTTATACTTGAATATTAAATTGTCTATCGTAACCAAGTGCCCTTTTACAAAATAAACAGATACGATTGGAGTAAGTAAACGACTGGTTATTATTTTGCGAAGCGTGACAAATTTGGGTGGGTAGCGCGTATTCCCTGTAGAAGCCAGACGTCACGTGTCGCCAGGATAATTAGGGCAGATCGCAGGTAATGGCTCGTGAACAACTTAATTCGTATCGCTAAGACCGCTCAACTAAAAGATTCGATTCTCGCTGTATGATCTCTTTCCCTACTTCCTCACTCATTCTTTTCCATGCTGTCCTTACTAAAGAACGCTGTCTCAAAAAGAATCGTTTCTTAAAATTTCAATAAAACAAACCAGAAGTACAATAATTAAATGCAATGTCAAATTGTTAAAATAACAATTAGATGTTTAAGAAGTGCCTTCAAGTTTCGTAATTTTAATAAGAAAATTCTCACAAAAGTATACAGTAGACGGACGTATCTTGAAATTTAATTCCATTGTCTTGGTAAAAATATTATATTCGGAAAACTTCGTTAATGTCTCACTAAAATATTCATTGAATTTATTTCCTAGTACCACATGTTATTCAATGTGTACTTATTTTTCAATAAACTCATCGCAGCATGCATTATCTAGGTAATTGAACATTAATATATCTTGAATAATCTCATCATTACGACGGAAACACTGGATCATAAAATCTATTTATCGCGATATATTGTTTACTATCAGAAGTATCGAACAGGTAAATAGGGGGATGTTGTCGCTGAGGAACTACTCGCGGCGGAATAACAACGAGCAACAATAATGAGAACAGGATTGAAAGGAAGAGACAATCGGCCGTACCGGACCCTAAATAAAATTTCCTAGACGGTCGTGCTTCCTTCGATTTCAGCCTCGTTTCCACGTTTCGCCTTCTATTTGCGCCGGGTATCGATAGGAAACTCAATCGGGCGTTTCGTTCGGCCAAATTTACGAGACGACCGTGCCAGTTCCACTTTTGCCTCGTTTCTCTTATATTCCTCCTTTCCTCGCCCTCGCGCTCCTTTTTATTTTTCCCAAGAATAAGAAGCGAGCGTACGATCATTCTTGAATGTATCATTGAAACAAGTTCCGGGATGCAAAACGAAGAATATAGGTTAATCGTAATAAACGGCGTATCGGTGCAAATATCGTCGCGACAAAATGGCGCAAACTTCCGAGGAATAATAAGTGCATTTCAATTTATCTCTGTCTCGACGTGGCAATTAATAAATCACTCGGAATTTCTTTAAATCTCTGTTATCTGTTATGATTCTTTTCATTTTCACAAATTGAAACAGCTGATGCAGTGAAACATAAATTGTAAAATAATAATCTATCAACGAGTGTCTTATTTCAGTCTTCTTGATTCTTATAATTCTTAAGAAAGTTGATTTCGCTGCCAATATACTATTACTAAAATTAATTTTCATTACTATCAGAAATGCAATCATTATCAGAATGTCTCAATAGCAAAACGGAACACGTACCGTACAAACAAGGGAATATGCTCAATGGAAATTTTCCCCTTCATTTTGTCCTGAATTTCAAGCTGGAAAGTGCTTGTGAATTGCATTTAGTGTTCTTAGGAAGATAATTGGAAATAAAGGAACAGACGCGACGATTCTTCCGAAGTTTTAAACGAACCTTGGGTGCGAGAATTTTCGCTACATCTGGCCCGGCAATCAGTGTCAACCGGCGGTCTCTTTAATTAGTGTAATGCTACCGCTTAATTGCAATCAATGTCGCCACTGTCTTCGCTCCGAGTGTCCTTTAATTATTCGATATCGTAATTGATCGTCGGCCAGGATGAAGTAGGTACACCTGTCGCGTTTGCATCAAAGCACTCGCCGCGACACTGCAATCTGTTACCGCTGCAAGGATCCACCGGAAAGATGATAACGAATAAATTCATCATACAATCTCGTTAAATTCCAATATCTATACTATTGACAGTATTCAAAACACGCACCAGAGCGTACTGGTGAAAACATAACAAAATTTTGCTTGTTAATATCGTTGTAACTTCACATATGTGAAAATCTTGTATGTGTTAATTGAAATAAAGTTTATTTTATAAAAGTCCTGTTTTAACAGATGCAATAAAAAATACATTACAATCTTCTTAGGATGTAAGAGTGTGGACTAAAGTGTATCATGTTTATTATCAGTTTATAAACAATACATTTGCAAGTTCAATAATTTTAATACCATTAACCCAGGAATTATTACTGTGCAAAATGTAATTACATTTTGTTAAAATTTATTTATTCATTAAGCATTTACATAAATATCAGTTATTAAGTGATTAATGGAACGCTATAAATTGATGAAATTCAATAACAGAATTTATTAGAGTCCCTACTTGCGCTGTTTATTAACGATAATTTATTACACCTTTAAGATTCATTACGATGTCATATGCAAAAGAATTATATTTATCATAATATAATATTTCAAGTTGAATTAAAGTCGTTGTAGAGGATTGATTCTGTGATTCTGTAATTTATTATATTTGTTGAATTTATTGCCGATATTGTATTCAAATATATGTATATTTGAGACTGAAGCAAAGTTACTGTACAATATTCATTCTCGAATGCTGTAGTATATTCCAGTTTTAAAATTCATTGGGACATGGCATTCAAAAAGATACATTCGTGTGTCATAATAAAATATTTATGACTTTATCTCAAACAGTTGCAGGGAATTCATCTTACGCGCTAGTGAATGTGAAAAATTAATTTTCATCCGGATATTTTTCTATAATATTGTGAAAAATAAGAACCTCGAGAATGTCACAAAAATAGAATGGCACAAACGATAATTAGGTACATTACAATTCATTTACAATTAATAATTAAATTCAATGTCTGCACTTCTTAATGTTGAAAGGAGGATAATGCTGGAATTCAAATTATTCGTAATTTTGTTGCTCATAGAATTATTCCATCGTCAAGAAGTTCTCTTCTCACAACAGCTTGAAGTTCCCGCAATTCTTGATAAATTACTAGTAAGAAGTAAATTTCCGTTTTTAATTAATTTCATATTAAAAATGTTTAGAAGCGCAGAAGTACATATTAAAAAATCAACTAATTATATCAAATGTATATTAACAAACATTTTCTTTCTTTTATTTGCAGACATCTTTTGTTTCTTCTTTTCTTTTAGCTTAAGAAATCTTTTTCCTTTTATCTTCAGACATCTTTTTACTCGTCTATATTTCTTCTAGATTAATAATCCTTTCAGTTATTTACATTCCTGTTTAAGTAACAAATCTTTTTATTCGTTTATATTTCTTCAAAAAAGAGCGTAACCTGTTTATTAATTCACTCTTATGCATTTAAATACAACTGAATGCCGCAGAAACTAAAACCCATCTTACTTCCACATTATTCATTCGTCTTCATTGCGTCTTATTTCCATGAATATTCCCGTTTCTCTTTGTATAAACAGGAAATTAAAGTCGTAGCCCGGTGCCAACGTGTTCTCGTAACCCGAAGGATCCCTGATCAACGCAACGACAGAGTAACCCCCGTTCAATGGCCACCGAGATCATAGCTTCCGTCGACAACTGTAAAGCGTGACGAAAAATGAAACGGTCTCCGTAAATTTTGGTTGGTGGACGGAGGAAATTGCGTGCCAGTGAAATTTCGGCATCAAATGACGCGATGGATCAAATATATAGCGGAAGTTGCGACAAACGTGTAAATGAGGCGACGCGATAATGCATTGCTCGCTGCGAAAAATGAGGAAAATGACGCGTGTTGCTCGTTCGACTACAGTTTTCCGAAATTCCGATCATACCACGGCTATTTTCAGCACCCGTTCGTCACTTCAAACGCTGTTTATGACTACGACTGTTGATCATAGCCGTAAAAATTGTATTCGACACGTAATCACAACGTCTGAAACTACGGAGGTTAAACTACACTATCACCAATAAAAGCACGTATGGCGAAACTTTTTCCTGGAAACTGCTATCATAAAAATAGTGAAAACGTAGGGTAGTTTGAACTTTTCTTTACGATACTTTGTTAACCCTACACACTTGAGAGGCGACACGCAATCGTCATTTGATTTGATAACAAAATTAGAAACATGTGACAATCAGTATGAGATTTAATGTAATTAGATACGAAATATTAAAATCAGTATTAAAATGTGTTTAATATCTTTCACAAAATTTTAATACAAAATTATACCCCTTCATACGTGTATTATTTTTATTTAATGTAATAACAAATTTAATCAATATTTCATTAGAAAATTATAAACATAGGAGTGAAAAAACTTTCGAGTGAAAAGAGTTAATAATAAATAGGAAATTTTCTTGCACATAACGTGCAATTGTTCAGGAATTTTAGTACGTGATTACCTGAGCGAACCTGAGATGCAAGTGGTTATCGGAATTATCGACTGGCTGCGTTAAACCGCAACAACGTGACATGACGTGTTACGTCGCGAAACAATAGGCTTACATGCGAAAGGTCCGTATCTTTAGCTTTACAAATTTTAGTTTCCCAATATTAATTTTACCAGCAACATAATTATGGGATAATCGAGTTATTCGACAACATTAAAACTTGGGATTTACAGCCTCATAAGGGTTAGTCTTTATAGGAGTAACATTTCATTAACGTATCTTCCTCCTGAATCATTAAACAATTATAATAAAGAAGAAAACTTTACTTTCTTTACAAAATACAATATTATCAACGTGTTCTACTTTTAAGAAATGAATTATAATTTATTATACTCAAAATTCTAATAATTACTTTTAATTAGTCTAAATCTAACACTGCCACTCCACTCTATGTAAAATTAATAACAAGAACAAATATTGAATACAACCGAATTTTTTATGTTACGATCGAACATATCAACTAACTGTATCAAAGTCAACAGAAATTTCCAAAATCTACTACTTATCTAAAGTCCATCAAATTAGAATTACCATTTCCTCGACGAGGCTGGAGAACCACTAAAAACTGAAGGCCACCGCACTTTCCCAAAATTTGTATGTCAACGACACAGATGCAAATATTGCTGCTCGCGTTCTCGCAAGACTGTAAAAATGAAAATCACGGTGACTGGGTAATCTCGATCTACTTCGACCCTTTCCGGAACGGCCCTCTTCTCTGATATCTCTCCGTAAATGTAGATTCAGATTTCACTAGATTTACGTTACGAAAGCAGCTCTCTTCTTCGGCCGCTTAACACGTTCGCGACCACGAATTTGAAACACCCTAACCGTGGACCATGCCTTTCTTGCAACTGTTTAGAGTGATGTGTTATTCATATAATTTTTACACATTTAAAAATGTTTGACTTTTCAAAATTCCTCTATAAAAACTCCAAGAGTATATCTATTGAAACTTTAATTGACTTGCAGGTAAGTTTGCGTATTTCTAAATCAATTCCTGTAATAACTGTCCAGGGAAACATCTGTTATCTTTTTAATAATTGCAAGCAGAAGAAATCAGAAATGGGTTGTTTGGCCTGTCCGGTAGCTTTAGTGCTAAAACATTAACTAAACCAAACAAAGCATTTTAACATAACATTTTAACATAAATGTCATGTATACCTGAAGTATTCATACAGTCAAAGCGACCATAGGGTATACTATACGCCAAATATATGTTAATATCATCATATCAATAGTAGTCAACAGCGTCACACACATGTGTCCCTGCATATCGAATCGCTGTGTCACACATACACTGCCAACTAAAGTTTGGAACCACTTAATATGTAACGTCACAAATACAAAATTATATATCTTATAAATATATAAACAAATTAACAAAAATGATATATCCTTATATTTGACTAATGCACATGTCCATGTTTCTTCATCATACACAAAAATTCTCCAATAAAAGTTGTTTATAAAAAAAGTAGAAGCTTAACTGTGGAGTTTAACGAAGAACGAATGCACCTAGGGTCTATTTTAATGAAAAACCAAAGCAAACCAAAGACTAATTACATGTTTATCTGAGAAAATAAAGAATCCGTTGTTGAAAGAATTAGTATCATTTCAAGCTTTAAGATCACGTGTAATATTCGTCGAACGCAGTTAACTGGTTAACCGATGTACTGCTCCCAAATTTTGGACCAACAGTGTATGTGACGTGTAGTCGTGAACGTGATAAGTTCGGAAAGAGATTGTAGACCGATTCTCTGAGGTCAGAGATCTTCAGCTGAATTGACTGATGTAAAAGTGAACGTATACTCTTGCTCGTGGTTGAGACAGCCGGTCCTAACGAGGGTAATAAGGTTCCGCGAGTGAAAAAGATAGATAGAAGTTTAAGGCGACGCCGAAGATTTTCTATTTGCAGTTTGCTTTGGAGATTTTGCCACTTATGTACCCACTCGTGATCCGCGATGCGTACGCACGCAACCCTTCCCGCCGTCATTTTTAAGGCGCGTCCTATCTCACGGCCATGAAACGACGCTCGTGTCTTGTCGTCGTTTTCTAAAATCGTTGTTCGTCCGCTCGAGATTAAAGGTAAATAATAAAGCGTATCTCCTCGCTCTTCAATTTTGAAACAGCGGCGCTCGCATGCACCCATAGTCATTAACCAGCCTGCTGTTTCGCATAATGTACAAACGAAGTTTATGAGCTCATACACTGTTCGTGGATTTAATTAAGCTTCGAATCGAAAGCGATACACAAATAAGGAATCACGCACGGCTGATGAAAATTTCTGAAACGAATTCTAAATTAGATTTCAAATGAGAAATATTTGAATATTTTGTGATAATTTTTGAGCATTTGTGTGGGATATTTACATGAAACGATTTACGATGTACGAAATTTATTTATATATTTATAGGAAATGTGTTTGTATGAAACGGTTGTGGAGTTGAACGTAATATGCAAAATGAATTTGATTCGGCTGGAAATAATTATTTAAAATGTGGATTTACCGCAAATAATTATTTAACAATAAACGTACCGTGAATGATCAAATGATCGATTTCAAAATTTGATTGAAAATTCTCCGTTTTCTTTCGTTCATTTAAGTAAATCAATTCCAACATTATCCGATTAATCAGTTTTTCAATGTTTGTCTGTCCTACTGTTTCTGTTTCCAATAAGAAATATTTATCGTTTAACTTGTGTACCTTTATTTTATAACTAATTATTTGACTGATTACAGTAGGTATAGATACAAAGTATCAGTACGTTTAATGTTAAAATGTTGATTCAGTATATTGGACCGTTATTCGATTCGAACAGTTTTATTTTTGCTATCAGTACATTGTTACCTTAATATTTTGTTTCAAATATGTACATAATCTATTTCTTATTAATCATCAACTTGAAATATATTAATACTTAACGGTAAACTTACTTGCCATCGTTTACGCTATTTCAGGCGTAAAATGACTTTAGTTTAATTACACTAGAATATTTCAAAGCAAGTAAAGTATTTTTGAATATTATTTTAAAAATTGATTGCTACAGATGAAAATATTTCAAAAATATTTTCTATTCAAAATCATACGTACAATTTTAAATAAAATATAGTTTTTACCGTGTTTCATGTAAAATGATATTTTTAAATTCAACATTCGCAGCACTTCGACTTGTTTCGTCAGTAATGAGGTGCCATACAGAAATATTTTAACCTCTGTCGGCGTTTTAATTTACGTGTAAAGTGACTCGCAGGAAATGAAATTCCAGGTACCGACCAGCCACCCAGCCCGCCTCTTCTCGTTCATGAACCCGTTGGCCATCGAGATTTGGCTGTACGTTTTAGCCGCGTACGTCCTCGTCTCCGTGACGATGTTCGTGGTGGCGCGTTTCAGCCCGTACGAGTGGAACAATCCGCACCCCTGTCACGCGGGTTCCGAGGTTGTCGAGAACCAGTTCTCCCTGGCCAACAGCTTCTGGTTCACCATTGGTACATTGATGCAGCAGGGCAGCGACCTAAATCCCAAGGTAATTAATTGTTCCACTCAACCCTTAAATGCTATTGTCAGGCGTTTGCATTATCACGTTCCTGGTAAAGTACGTGATAAAACTAAGCTGTTTTATGGTAACAATTCAGTACTGTTGATAGCATGAATAAATATCTACAATTTAAAGATTACCAGTTATTACGTTTTTCAATGATATTAAATCTAAATTTACACGATGCGACATTTTATATATTAAATAATTTCTAACGATTCGATGAAATAATCTCGCTCTTGATAAATTTGCAATGCGTTATTTATAATATTATAAGTTATACTTTAAAGTACAGAAAACATTTGTATTCATTTTTGTATTCAGAGTTCGATTCGATTAATGTGTGCATTCGTTTTTAAGGTACAGTAATATGATTTTAGAATAGTTGTACCGTGTTCCTTCTCAATAGCTCTGTCACTTTGAACTGATGTACTTCTAAAGAAGAGTGAACACAATTCTACCATTCTTTCGTTCGCTTGCGGTTCAGTTCTACTTTATTTCGTTCCGTACACTCGTTGTTATTCCACTCGCAACCAGTCGACAAGTCTGACACAGCACTGTCAGTTAGTTCCTTTCGACAGAATTCCCTCGATGGGTTCTCATATTTGCCTAGGTTTAAATGTTGTCGAATAATACACCGTGACTACCAAATGTTTAAAATATCGATTCGTACAGCATATTTATATCGTCTGAACTCAAATAACGTGCGCACAGTTATTATTTTTAATTTAACAGCAAAGAGGAGCACGAACATATTACGGAACTGTTAACCTTTCTGTTTTAGTGGAGCTTATATCCGAAGTTTTTTATTTACTAGTTTTTCAATTTACTTCAGTTCAAACAACTATAGTCTCCCGAAATAAAAACGTTTCCACGAATTTTTTCGACATTCTAACAAAAAGTCAACAAAACCGTTTCAATTACTAGAAAAATCGATGTTATTTCCTTCCTCCATTTTCACAGGAAAAATCCGTTAAAATAGCTACACTATGCAAACCTACAAAATAAATTTCAACATTTTTTGTAAATACAACAGTACAAACTTCAAATTTCACAATTATATAATTTGAAACAATTCCGTATGAAGTATTTGTCAAGAGAAAATACCGTATTTCCATTAACGGTTTGAAAGCAATCAATTTGTTAAAGATTCAGATCTTACATGGTGTTTCTCACTGGTTTTATCATCATTATTCGTTATCAGGCAACGAGCACTCGGATCGTCGGCGGCATCTGGTGGTTTTTCACTTTGATAATCATCTCCTCGTATACCGCGAATCTCGCTGCGTTTCTAACGGTCGAGAGGATGATAACGCCCATTGAGAATGCCGAAGATCTCGCTGGTCAAACGGATATCGCCTATGGGACCCTGGACAGCGGAAGTACCATGACTTTTTTCAGGGTAAATGAGTCATCATTCCTTATCATTTTACCCACGTCTAGAAGATAATGAAAATAACTTTAAGACGATAAAATAGCGCAACTATAAAAGTAATTTAAAAATAATAAAGAGAAAAGTATCTTCAAGAGTAGGTAATGTCAACTAAAAAAAAAATCCTACTAAATGAGTGTTAGTTAATTTAATATAATTAAATAATTTAATTCATCTTTTAAGTGGTAGGTAATTTTAAAAATATTAATTTCTCAACTTATTATTAGAATAATATTTTTCTTCAGTTGGCAAATACCATAATTAATATATTGAACCATTTTTCATATAACCCTGTATACTTAATATTTTTCTAAGGTGTTTACAATTTAATCTATAAATATAATGAATAATTACCGAAGGACTCAATGATCGAGACGTACAAAAAAATGTGGCGGTTCATGGAGAACAAAAAGCCATCAGTGTTCGTGCCGACTTATGAAGAAGGAATTCAAAGGGTTCTTCAAGGCGACTATGCTTTTCTAATGGAGTCGACTATGTTGGATTACATCGTGCAGAGAGATTGCAATCTGACTCAAATCGGTGGACTTCTTGACAGCAAGGGTTACGGAATCGCCACGCCTATGGGTAAAGCACATTTTTCTACCCGTTATCATGCGCTTTTAATCATATTAAATGAAAAGTATGATTACAACATTCCTGTTAATTCTTCACAGGCTCTCCCTGGCGAGATAAAATATCCTTGGCGATTCTAGAGCTGCAAGAGAAGGGTGAGATCCAGATGCTGTACGATAAATGGTGGAAGAGTCCCGGCGACACTTGCATGAGGACTGAGAAAGGAAAAGAAAGCAAGGCGAACTCTTTGGGAGTAGATAATATAGGTGAGCTTCGATTGCAAAGTACTGAAGAATGTCTACATCGATCGATTTGTAAAAAAGAAGCTTAGCTTGCTAAATTTTCTTCTAAGGGATTATCTGGTCATTTTTAAGCCTTTGAATGCTTTTTATTTTATTCAACTGAGTTTTTCCAATGTTATTTACTTTACATTGAATTCAAAATAATATTTCACTTTTAAAGCATATTTCAATCGAATTATACAATATTAATTATATAATAAAATCTACAAATGATTCGCCTATATTCTGGAACACCTTTTCTTTTATTTATCTTTCTTGCATTTCATAGATTCTAAAATAAATTCGGTTCACTCAATTTTTAAGCTCCGACAAGCTCATATGTGACTGGCGTAACGATCAAAGTTTTAATGATTCCAGTTGAACTAGCCAAACTGGTGATAGTTGCAGAAATTTTCATTTTCGCTAAATTTTTTACAAAAACCGACATCAAAGAAAAGTATTAAAAATAATTTGAACATTTTGGTAACAGTGGCAAAGGATATATAAATAATACTTGAAGATCAGAAACATCTGTATTACATGATAATTTACAGAATATTCGTTACAACTGTCTAACGAAACCTATCGATTTACGAGTATCGAACCGATACTCCAGTAAACATTTTCGTTCTCGTTTGTTTCGATCTCTTATCGTGCTCCTTCATTCATCCCAATCGCGCTCAACGCGACAGGTTAAATGAAGCTTCCACGGTGTAGCGTTCTGAAATCAGGACAAACGAATTTTTACATTTGCTTGAGAATGAACATCTTCTGTTGCCTTTTAGGCGGAGTGTTCGTCGTTCTGCTGTGCGGCCTTGCGTTCGCCGTGCTGATCGCGATTTTCGAGTTCTGCTACAATTCCAGGAGGAACACGCCGGCGGAACGGGTGAGTCCAATCAGCGCTGAGATAAAAAACAGAAAATGCAAGTGCGACCGCGTCCCACACGATTTCACGGATCGTTCGACGAACAATTCGTACGCGGGATGGACAAAACATTTTTTTCAGACAAGCGCGCACGTAACGCATGACCTTAGCAGTGCATGAGTTTTTGTCGCTTTTGTTCCATTTTTCCGTGTCGCCGTGGACTTTTTCGGCGCAGCATGAGCTCATCTTCCACTGAAGCATGCCGGCGGACCGCAAACGCACGAAGCTCAATCGTGACCCAAGGTCCGTTTTTTTTCAAACTTCATTCTACTCCATTGACTTTTCTTTATCGTCTACTGCTTCTGTTACTGTAGACGCGCCTCATTTTTATCCAAATTTTGCATCGTCGTTAATTTTGTTTTATTGACTTTTATTCTCATTTTGTTATGTTCTAAACTATATATCTGGTCACTAGTTTGGAATCATATAAGAATTTTCAACCTTCTAACTGTGGAACTTAGTTTCACAAATCTCTTGTTCTACGCTGTACGAATGCACCTAGGATATATTTTAATGGAAAACCAAAACAAAACAAAGAACAATGACACGTTTATCTCAAGAATAAAGAATTCGTCGTTGAATGAATTAGTATAATTTCGAGCTTTAAGATGACGTATATACTCGTCAAACACAATTAACTGGTTAATAATATTCTCTTAAACATATCAATTTTCCGCCATGCCTCGTAGTTATTAGGTTTAGACACGATTATTGAAACTCGAATGTTGACTTTTATATATAAATAGAATAATTTTTAATTATTTCATTCTCAAAATCGAGTCCACCTGTTTTCTTTCGATGACAGTTTTTAAGGGTTAAATTTCTTGTGCTGTTAATCAAATTCCGAGTTTCTTGGATTCGAAAAACGATTCGAAACTTTTGACCAGGTTTTGGCCAAATAGTATCAATGATATCTGAAAGGATTTAACCAAACGTTTGAACGCGCCACGTTTAGTCAGTAGATTCTAATTTCTTCAGCTATGATAACTGGTTTATTTTGGAATACATTCTCATAAACAATATTGACTCAGAGAGCTCCAGTATCAACACCAGCCGGTTCGGGTTCTCTGCAAGGGATCTCTCAGTCAGTGCAACAGCAACAACAGCAACAGCAAGCGCCGCAGCAGCAACAACAACAGAATCAGCAACAGGAGTCGCTGTGCTCCGAAATGGCGCGGGAACTGTGCCGCGCGTTGCGATGCCATGCGTCGTCGCGACGTCGACGCGCCTGCGAAAAGTGCTCGACACACGTGATCGGCTATCCGCCGGACATCCCCACTGCCACCCCTTTGAACGGGATGAGATCCCAGGTATTATCTTTGAAAAACGTTATTCAAAGTGTTTCAAATAAATATCTATATAAAATGATAAATTAAATAAATTATTGTTAGACGAATATATCATCTCGATTTTTGGTAATCAATATTGATGGCAATATTATTTTATTACTATGAATCATTTTGATTGCTAAACTTAAGACTGCTGAAATATTACTTAAAATTAATCAAACTTTCATTAATTCTGTAATTTCAACTAACCCCTTCTCGTCGAGGGAAGAAACTTTCGCTCACTTTTTAATCATTTACCAATACGAAATTTATATTTTTTTATACGATATTCGACTTCTGTATAAACATTCGTAGTGTATTGATGATCACTCGTAAATGTTTTTTTAAGCTAATTTGTGAAAACAGTAGTATCTAGCTGGCAACGAGAGAGTTTTATGCAACATTGAAAGATACAGGCCTATAATAAAGACCCTAATTACAGGATAATAATTTACGTTTACGGAGAACAATCAATTAAACCGTTAATCAAGCGAAACAGCCCCACTGTACATCATTAGTAATAGGAAACACAATGAAATAATGGGCCATGTTATTACCCAGATTCAATTGCGTTCGAGCGGCCTCGGTACATCGGCGTAATTGTTAACTCAACGATATCGCAATAACCCGCAATAAATTAAACCCTATCGCATCAAATGCGATTCTTTCACAGAGCAATAATTGCTGACTGATCAGGTGAATTACATGGGCATTGCATTACATTGGTAGTACATTCTGATAATATTGCAGACAAATACTGACAAACAGAAATGATTAGAACATTACTAAAATCAGGCACGATAGTTCTTTAATTTTTATATTACACTTTCGTATCTTTATTCTATTTCACTTGTAGAAACAGCAAAACAAAATTTATATTGCATAATGTAGAATGAATAAAGTTAATAAATAAGTTAATAAATATTATGAATGTTAAATAAACAGTAAATAAATAGTAAATAGCTATAGATCATTAGGAAAAATCAGTTTTAAATCATCCTCTTATATATTCGATAAATGATCAGATTTAGAATTAGGTTCACTTCGATAAGAATGATAAAAAGATAATTCTCTTAAACGGACTTCTTTGCAGAGAAGCAGCCTGGGTGTTCCCACGGTCGAATTGCCACCGCACATTCACATGCACCATCACGCACCACCGCCACCCAATGACTACGACGAGTCTTAACCAAGCGTTCGACGCCACCCGCCATTGGTGATCGACACGGGTTTAACGAACCGCGAAGAAAACAGTGGACCGAAAACACACGTAAACGAGAGGAACAAAAGGATCATGAAGCAAGTACAAAGCGCATCGAGTGGCACCGGACGGAAGAACGGCGAGAAAAGTTCGTTTTACTTTTTCTAGATCATCGAAAATAGAAAAATCCCGCCGCGAATGTCACGTCTTGCGAGACATCACCGAACGAACGTTGCACAATTCCTCGACGGGCGTTCACCGCTGCCAGGGGAATCTGTACCTCTATTCACCGCGTCCATCCGCCCGGAGAGAGTCTCTTGTCTCTTCGTACTATTTTTCACTGAACTTGCACCGATGATTTTTCGCACATCTTGAGTCACCGCGGGGAATCGATCGCCTCGTCTAAAACGGTCTCGCGAGAGAAATCTACAGCTGATGGACAACATGCATGTAACTCGTCAGCATTTTTTCTACGACATGAAAAATATTTGTCCCATATCTCGGATCCTCTTCAAGGAAATTTGAAATAGAATGGTGTAAATGTTGGCTCAATATTCTAACAATTGTTTCAAATCAAATTTAGTTTTTATTACTGTTTCTGGAAAAGATTAGTATTCCTAAAATTGAATAAAGATTACGAATCAGAGTTTAGATAGACTAGATTCGAGTCTGATTAAGTCTCAGAAATCTATCCTTTAATTTTTCAGATTTTAAGTTTCCTACATTCATCAACTGTATTTGCCTCGCGAGAATGCTTTCTTGGCGCTTGTTCCATTTACTTCTTGCAATTTCTTAGTTCTATCGAGTAGAAATACAGTAAGTCGTTGCAGAGGCAAGCTAGATCTCGAGGAAGTTGTGTTTTGATAAGATCTGCTCTATTGATTAAATGCGGCGGAGCTTCTGTTACCGCAAGTACCGCGGGGTAATACTCTTGCCTTCCTATTAATCGGTCGTTTACAGTCTAAACTTTGGACAAACGAAGCTCCGTTACGGACATCGCCGGAACTGTCAAATAATTGTAGAAGAAATCGTCTGTGTAAAAACCAAAGAAAACTACTGCCACTTATGATGGTCACAACTACGTAAACCCCTTGAATTTTGATATACATTTACATTTTAAGCTAATAAAATTATTAAAATATTAAGCAAATTTCAAGCAAAATTTATATTATGTGTCATTACATTACATTTTTCAGTATTACAAATTAACGTATATTTCACTAATATAAAATTAAAATAATGATTATATTTTTCAAGGGATTTTCCAAGGATCAAAAAGGAATAATTAAACATAGTTGATTAAACTGTAATGGCAAAATCCGTCTCATTGCATCGGCAAACCGGCTCAAACGCAATTATCCTCGATGGTCAGTCAGCTGCGATTGTTTTTTCAGTTTATGCAACTAGATTTCGATCAATCTAATAGATGAACCGTTAAGAATTCTAGAATTCAAATGGAAAACTCATCGGTTTTCTAAGTTGGTAAAGAGAGTTCAGGCGCGAGTTCTCCCAGACAGTTGAAATAAAGACGGCAAGCGACGCGTCGTCTATAATCCCGTATTTGCGTCCACGTACACGACTTGCACGTACGTATACACACATATGCAGCCACAGAACACGAGGACACTTTGTGTAAATACCGCGGCGGTACGCGCGAAAGTAGAGCGATTCAATGCGAAGTATTTTAACTAACGCGAGGCATGCGAGTAAGTGTTTAGCGTTAAACCAAGTACAACCAAGTAGACGTTTGGTGTCATTTAACGTGTGTATATGCAGATAGACGGCGAATAAACTTAAGACGAGAACACAGAGATCTTTGTGTACATTTTTCTTCTTAATCGATCCTTAGGAAACTTCGGCAGGAATCCGTTTATTACTTGGCGAGACCGTAAGTATGATGGTATCAATGTTTCTTGAACTAAATACTATGATTTCTACTTCAGGGGATATTTAATTGAACTTCACCATTTGCTATCAAGCAGACTTGACGTTGAATTTGATTTCGATAGTTGCGTATTTTATTTGTTTTTGTTGTAATTATTCGTTATATCTTAACTGTATGATAACAAAGGAGAATATAATTTAGCTTAAGGAAAGTTTCATCTTCATTTTGTAAAAGGGACAGGAGTATAGGACACAATACAAACACAATTTTAGTGTTTGTCAAACGTCCTAAAATAAATTAGTTGAATATATTAAATTATAATATTTTAAGAGTGAATTAATTAACTTTGATGCAAGTTCTTAAGTGAAAAACTGAGAACATTTCAGATAGCAAAGGGTTAAATGACAGTTACGCAGTTTTTAAAAAAGTAGAAATATTAAATAGATTATATATTACCTTCAAACATTTGAACGTGATTTCTTAATTAGTTGCAGATGACATTTAAATACTTCTCGAGTCATTTAGGAATCGCCTTTTAATACCAGCTTTTCTATAGGCCGTTCGAGCAGCTTTCAAGTAATCTTGAAATGCTTTCCAAGCGACTTTTTAATTAATTTAATTAGGGTAATGTTCTATTAAACCTTGGAGTTCGCGTTCCTCTTTACATAGAGAAAAACATAATCGTTAATCTGATCTCTAGGAAAGACGAGTAACTTTCTCGTTTACATTCCATTTCGCATTGCACTCATTTTTTATCTCTTTTTTAATTACTTATCCAATGATTCCTCGTGTAGCGTAATGTCTATATTAATATGAAATAAACTATTTCTCTATCAGATTAATTTTATTTATCACTGATTAAAAATATATAGATACTTCTAATTAAAAAACCATTTCCATAAGAGGATCAATATAAAACTGATGTTCCCAACTGAACAAATAAGAGCAAATAAGAAAAATGAATATCCCCTTCAGTTTATTTCTAAACTCTCTAACTTCATCTGAAGTAAAACATCATGTATTTCCCTTTGTTACAAAACCGGATCACGGAAATATGAATTAGAAATTTGAGAAACACGTTAAAAGCATTGATACGAATATTTGTTTTCTAAGCCCTGAAAACTTTCACTACTAGAAACACACATCTGTACGAATAGACTTCTTTGAAAACTAGCCTAATCAATTATAAATTAAAAATAGGAAACAAAAGGAAATCGGAAGCGTCAGGTAAGTCGATCATCCAACACCAGACATCGTTTTTTTATATAACATCATTTATTAAGGGATAAAATAAATGACAAATAACATATCACTTATATGAAACTATAACATTTCTTAGAGTGTTCATCATTCGTTATGATATAAAAGAAATCACATCACATACGACCCTCCACGTAACGCCGCCGGTCGTTCGAGCTCGAATCGAGATGCTGGATCGCGCGATCCAAAAGAAACTTAATCCTAAGCAACGGTTGGTCTAAACGGTTAAAAAACAAACGATTCACGAATTACACATTATTTTGGTACAGGCTACGTCACCTCGAAGACAGGACTCAGAAAACTCCACGTGGAGAGCCTCGCGAACGAGACGCAGCGACCCGCCATCGGTCCATGATAAGATTAGGCGTCGACCGCGTCGCTTAATCGAATCAACGTGACCGTGATGTTGCAGGGCGTGGATCGCGAAAGGAAAATTCTCTGAATCTAAAGCCAACGAATTCATACCTCCGTCGAGCAAAATCGAAACGGTTAAAAAAGAATTCCCGCTGCCGGTAAAAGAAAGACAAAACATCGACTAAAAAAATCTCGAAATCGGTAAGAGATTAAATGATCGCGCAATCGAACGGTTTCGAGCCGCTGAACGACCGTGCCCTATGTCTCCTCCTGACACGATAATAATAATAATATATAACCGACTGAATCCATTTGGAAGGGCCTAGTCAAATCACTTGTAATTATCACACGATCGTATTCGACGCGGTGGCATGTAAATATTCTGCTCCTCGATCATACATTTCCTTTTTTTTTGTCTTGCCGTTTCCCCTTTTCCGTCACACTTATTATTCTTCGTTTATTCCTTTCGTCTCTCCCGTTGCAATACGCTTTGCGACACTCGGAGGTGGCTCGAGCCCGCAATACACGTGCCGGGCCGGCGAACTTCGGGGCCTAAAATCGTCCGAGGTCCCTCGCGCGCGCAAGAGCTCGTTTGATCATACGCAATATCTCGCTTCGATGTTACAAAGAAAAGAAGAACAATGAAAAGAGAACGAAAAAAGGAAACATGGATAATGAAGAAGACGAAGAATATAAAGAAACGATACATGTGTACGCGGTGTGTGTAATGTGGGTAAAATGTATGCTTGTGTGCACGTATGTATGTGTAGAACAAATGCCTCGTTCGAGTGCTTCGCTTTTTCTACCTCGGCCTCGTGACCATCTTCACAGTCCCTCGCTTCTACGCACGTTTCTCTCTCTTTCCACCCTTCGGTACGCGAGGAAGCGAGGGAACCGGAAGCTCGCGAAGAATAATTCCTAGCTTCTATTATGAACAATTACTCTGTCGCCTCCCTTCGTTGAACAGAGGACAATAAAAAAAAAAGAAAAAGGAGAAAAGCTTCTATTGTTCCTACCGCACGAGACT